CATAATATATTTATTAGAATCCTATTCCATTCGATTCTCGAACTGCATTATTCTAATTTTGTTTATTCTTATTTAAATTAGTTCTTTGTTATATTCATTTGACCTGATTGTTTTCTTTTTTTTTTATAAAATCTTTACCAACCAAGAACTTTGAAGAATAGAACTTAATTTTTCTCTAATTTTTCCAGATTCTCATTGAAAAATATATTTTATTGGAAAGTTCTTCCAATTAGAAACAAGAAATGAGTAGTGGTGATGAATTTATTACTATCCATAATCCTGTTTATATATACCAGAAACATGGCATTGGTAAGTCTTTATTTAAACAAAAAGGGATAAACAAAAACGAATCTATAAGTATCATTACTAAGATTGAGTATGTCTATCTTAATGAATTAAACGAAATTCTTAAAGAAGATCGTCGAAATATACTATTAAATGAAAATGAAAAAATGAAATATCATTTATATTGTGAATTAAAAAAGAAAGGTTTCTTTATTAAAGATGGATTTAAATATGGATGTGATTTTGTTGTTTATAAAAAACATCCACAATGTTGTCATTCATACTTTGGAGTATTATTAATGAATATTCATCAGTCTTTAATAAATAATGAATTAATTGGGCTATGCAGATTATTGCATAACGTAAAAAAACATTTATTACTTTGTAATTATAATAATTCATTAATAACAATGAAAGAAATTAATTGGGTGTCAATGGAAAATAAGTAAAAGAAAAAAGATATAAAAACAAGTAAAAAGTCAATAATTCAATAAATTTTTGGTTTTTGTTTTTTAAAAAAAAAAAAGAAAACAAAGGATTGGTAAAAAAAGAGATCTTAAAGATCGGTCATTTAAAATGGAAGAAAAAACACAAGGATGGCTTATGAAAGAAGGTGGAAGTTGGAAGTCTTGGAAAAAAAGATATTTTGAATTAGACAATGATACATTATCATATTACAAAGAACAAGATAAAAAAACATTAATGGGCATAATTAATTTATCTCTTGCCACACATATTATAGCAGTTGATAATTATCATAAGAAGTATGAAAATATAATTCGTATTTGTACACCATCAAGAACATTTCATTTAAGTGCAGCAAATGAAGAAGATAGATTATTATGGTTAACATCTATTATTTGTCATTCTCAACAATCAAATATTTATAAATCTAAAATAACTAAAGAAACAGTAACACAAAAGGATTTTGATGTTAAATGTTTATTAGGTAAAGGAGCTTATGGAAAAGTATTTTTAGTTGAAATGATTTCTACTCATGAAATATTTGCAATGAAAACTATTGAAAAGAAACAAATTATTGAATATGAAGAAATTGAACACACTATGTCTGAAAGACGTATTCTCTCTAAATTACGTCACCCTTTCTTAGTAAATTTATATTACTCATTCCAAACTCCAACTCATTTATTTTATATTATTGATTATTGCCCTGGAGGTGAATTTTATTATTATTTACAAAAGAATGGAAAAGTTAGTGAAGAAGATGCTAAATTTTATGCGGCTCAAATTTTACTTGCAATAGAACATCTTCATTCTTCAAATATTGTTTATCGTGATATTAAACCAGAAAATATTTTAATTGGTGCTGATGGTTATCTTCGTTTAACTGATTTTGGACTTTCTAAAGAAAATGTTACAAAAGAAAATACTACAAATACATTTTGTGGTACACCAGAATATCTTGCTCCAGAAGTTGTTATTGGTAAAGATTATTCAGAACCTGTAGATTGGTGGGGATTTGGTATTTTAATTTATGAAATGATTCATGGACATGCTCCATTTACTTCAGAAGATATTCAACAATTATTCCAAAAGATTATTCATGACCCTGTCATCTTTCCAAATGTTTCTTATCCTACTGCTGATTGTAAACGTTGCATTCAAGATTTATTAGTTAAAGATCCAGAAAAACGTTTAACAAATCCAAATAACATTAAATCACATCCTTGGTTTAAAGGATTTGATTGGGAAGGATTATTCCAAAAGAAATTATCTCCTCCTTTTGTTCCTGTTTTAAAAGATAAAACTGATACATCTAATTTTAATGAAGATATTATTAATGAAACAGCTAAAATTGATGAAGGAGAAGTTGTTGATTCTAAAGATTACTTCAATGACTTTACTTATTGCAAATAAGTTATTGTCATATTATCATATTTGTCATTTGATAATTTCAATCTTGTTGGTGTTTATTTTATGTGTTAGTAATTTTTACTCAATTCTATTTTTATTTCATAATAAAAATTTTACTATTTATAAATAATACCAAATATCTTCACATATTCATGTATCAAATCAATTTTTTATCTAATTCTTATGACCTCTCTTTTTGAAACTCTTTGACTAATTATTAATCGAATGAAATTTTAAATGACAATAGGATAAATAAAGAAAATAATTAAATAGTTTATAAACAAAAATTTCACAAACAGTATAAGGATATTTAACTTAGAATCTTCGAAAATATAGAGTCTTAAATATCTAAACAAAACAATAGATCTTTTTATTAAATAATTTAATTGGATATCTTATTTTATCAAGATATTAGAAATTTTACTACTATTATTTATTTAATTTTAATGTAAAAGAATATAGATTATGGTAAAATATTTTAATAAAATAGTATACAAATAAATCATTCAAAATGATATGTCATATGCAAAATCATATCATTAAAATATGTGTTAAACTATTATGTAATTATGACAAATGATTCATTAAATAAATAAAAATTACAATTAAATAGATATTATTCAACAAAGTTAAGTAAATATAAATTAATTTTCAAACAAAAGAGAGTTTATAGTGTAAGTATAACGGCCAAATTGATTAAAAGAATGTTAAAATATTTCAATTATAAGATGTTAAAAAGAATTTATAACAACTTATTAAAAATTACATCTACCTTATAACCATTATCATTTATGTTATAAATTCTAAATCCTTAGTTTTATTCTATTAACTCATCTTTTTCATGCCCCAAGAATTTTTATGTTGATTAATTATTATAAAACTTATTTTCTTTCACTCAAAATAATTCTTAAATTAAAAAAAAACAGTCTTAGCTTAAATTAAAGAATAATTACAATGTTAATACTTAATAAATGAAAACAAAAAATTTATATGTATTGAAAAAGTGTCAAAAATTATATTCTAATATCCTCTTCCAAGTTATTTTAGATTAATGAATAAAACAATAATTAAGAACACTTCATGTTTTGTGGCTGTATAAGAAAAGCGGATAAAACCATATTATAAATTTACTTTTTAACTATAAACCAATATTATTTTAAATATTACCTTGAAACTCATTGAAAACGATAATCTGTTTGGTTATAACAAATTAATGAATTGCTAATAATTTTTATGGCTTCCTTTCAAAGTGTATTATTATTCTGAAAAAGAATAACACCAACGTTGGAATTAAGTAATAAGAAAATAGCCACTTATTAAATTTTATTCCTACTTAAAAACAAAGACATTTAACTAAAATAAAAATATGAAAATAAACATTTAAGTTCATTAATGTTTTTTGTTTAGGAAAATGATAACTCTTTAACATAAATTGTTTTTTTCAGATTAACAACAAAAAAATATGACTTTTGTTTTTTGTTTTTAAGTAAAAGTACCCTGTTTTTTCAGTACTTCTATTTGTGTTTTAGATGATAAACTATTTGTTACTTTTTAATTATTAAAAATTATGAAACAACCAAACTTGTTTCTTTCAACAAGAAAAAAATTTCAAAGAATTTTACCCTAAATGGGATTTTAAAAAGAATTTGAACAATGTTTTATATATTGATTTTTTTTTAATATTTTAAACTATTATTTTACTTTTTTCTTGATTGCCTAAAAGAAAAGTTGTCGGAGATGGTTCACTTTTTTGATAAGGAGATAAAATGTAAGTTTTGAGGAAGAAAAATTTGCTTGAACAAAAGATAATACTTAGAATAAAAGGAAGATTCTATGAACTGTAGTATTCAGATTAAGACTCATGGACGTTTATGTACTATCATTGTCAGATGTTCTTCTTAATATTTTACTCATTGGGGTTAGTATTTTAGGTGTTTTATTCCTCATTTTTCAAGGTTTAAAGTATATTATTGGTGATTCTATGGAAAAGAAATTGTTTGATAAAAGATTAGAACAAATTAAAAACCAACAACCCTTAGAACCAACAAAGTACCAGGACATTCAAATTATTTGTAAAACACTTAAAGAATCATATTCTACAAATGCATTAAGACCTTTAGATGCTAGGATGGAAGTATTATATTGTTTATATAGAATGGTAGTTGATAATAAACAAGCATTAAGTAATGCTATTAGAGAAGATCTTCATAGAGATGTTGGTATGTGTGTTGCTGAAGTAAATTCTGTTATTCATGAAATCAATTTTTTAAGGAAGAACTTAAAAAAATATCTTAGAAGAAAACAAGTCCCAACTGTTTGTGCTCAACTCTTTGGAAAATCGTTTGTTGCTCGTGAGCCTTACGGTTGTGTATGTATTATTTCTCCATGGAATTTCCCTGCTAACTTATCATTAATTCCATGTGCTGGAGCTATTGCATGTGGAAATACAGTATTTTTAAAAATGAGTAAATACTCTATGGCAACTTCTAAACTTATTGCAGAATTATGTGATAAATATATTCCATCAGAGTATTTGCGTTGTGAATATTTAACTGGAAGAGAAGCTATTCAAGAATGTTGTTCTGCTCCATTTGATTATTACTTCTTTACAGGATCTACTTATGTTGGTAAACTTGTTAACCAAGCTGCTGCAGAGAAAATGGTTCCTGCTACATTAGAATTAGGAGGAAAGAATCCTGCTATTGTTGATAAAAATGTTAATTTAAAAGTTGCTGCTAAGAGAATAGCTTGGGCAAAGTCAATTAATGCCGGACAAATATGTGTTTGTGTTGATCATGTTTTTGTTCCACGAAGTATTAAGAAAGAATTTTGTGAAGCTGTAAAGAATAGTTTCATCAAATTCTTTGGAGAAGATCAAAAGAAAAGTGAAGATTTTGGTAGAATAATAACTAAAAGTGCAGCAAAAAAAATGAAAGAAATTATCGATCAAAGTGATGTTTATTATGGAGGAGAAGTTGATATAGAAAATAAATATGTTCAACCAACTATTCTTCAAAATGTTAAAATTGATGATCTCTGTATGAAAGAAGAAATTTTTGGTCCAATTCTCCCAGTTATTGAATATGATACTCTTGATGAAGTATTTGAAATGGTTAAACAACATCCAAATCCATTGGCATGTTATGTTTTTACAGAAGATAATAATATGTTTGAACGTGTTATAGCAAAAATTAATTCAGGTGCTATCTATAACAATGATAGTATTGTTCATTTATTAAATCCAAATTTACCTTTTGGAGGAAATTGTCAAAGTGGTATTGGCTGTTATCATGGAAAATATACATTTGATACATTCTCTCGTCCACGTGCTGTTTGTAATGGTCATACTAGATTAGATTTATCATTGAAAGATTGGCCATTTACTTCATTCCAATCATGGGCAGTAGACCGTATGGCTGCAAGTGAAATTCCAGTTGTTTCATATCTTTAATTGAAATAATTAATTAAGTTTTATTATAAAAATTTATTAAAAAAATAATAAACAAAAAAGTAAAAATCAATTTGGTTTGATTAAAGATTCTATAACTTTTCTAACTGTTTTATCTAACTTGTCATAATCTTGTCGTGGAAGTTCTCTAATAATTTGCACAATCTTTGGATGTTCATTCATAACACCTCTAATCTTTTCTTCTGATAATAACATTAATAAATGAATTCCTGAAGGAATTGTTAATTCAATCAATTCAACAAACACTGGTAATATCGTATCAGTAATTTCACTTGTTTTGATAACTCGAAGTAATTTATCAATAAGTGTAATGTATTTAATTCCAGTAGATAATTTAATTATATTAACAAGACAAAGAAGACAAGAAAAAGTATCTGTCTTTTTTGAAATAAGAATATCCATAGATTGCATAAAATTAATTTTTGTTCTTAATAAAGTATTTGGATGATTCTTAACAACAGAACAAAGAACTTCTACATATTCAACTAGATGACTTGTTTTAGAATTAATTAAATTAATAATAATATCTTCAAATTTATAACGAGAAGCTCTACTTGAAATTATACGATCAAATATAATTTCAATATATTTTGGTTGAGACTCTAAATTACTAATTAACCATGAAAATATTTGTTTAAAATAAGGAGGATTAAGTACTGGAAGAATACTAATAACAAATTGAGTATATTTCATTGGTTCTTTTAAAAAATATGATAATATAACATTTACTAATGTTTGTACTCTAACTGAACATTGATGTTCAGGAAGAGATGGAAGATAAAAGTCACAAATGTTTTCAAGTAATGTAATTTTATATTGATTCAATTTATTATCATTAGTTGAAATAAAATAAACATATTGAATAAAATTTTGTTCTTCAAATATAATGTATACTAATGGTTTTAACAGAGAGGTTAAATTACCAAAGAATGCATCAATAAATGTATCAGTAACACTTATATCTTGTAATTGTTTAATTATTTCTATTAATAAATCATTTTGGTATAAGCACATTGAATATAATAAACGTACAATAGCTATTGTATATTCATATTCATTTGATTCACAAATTAACTTTAAAATAGGAACAATTCCATTACGAAATCCCCCAGGGATAAATGGATAAATTTCAGTACAAATTCTAGTAATAACATTAATTTGTAAATCAATTGGATAACAATATAAATGTTTTGTTAATAATGGTAATAAAACAATATAACTTTGTGGTGTTTGTTTAATAATTCTAATTGTAAAATCAACAACTTTCTTTACAATTTCATTATTTTCTTCATTGTCTGAAATAGTTATTTCTATTTTCTTTTCTTCTTTCTTAGGACTTTCTTCTTCTTTTTTATTTTGTTCATTTATTTGATTGTTTTGTGAAGTGTTATTTGTTTCTTCCTCTTCCATTGGTTTTTCAATTCTTAATAATGAAAGGATATTATCTATTTCTTCTATGTCACGTGGAATAAAAGGAATTTGATTAAAAAATGTAATAAGTCCTGGTTGTGGTGGATGAATTAATTCAAACAACATTTTTTTGAAAACTGTTAAATACAATTCATTATACTTTCTAAGGTATAGTTCAAACATAAGAAATATGATTAATTTTATATTTTTACAATTATCCTTTGTAGTAAAATAAATCAAATAATCTACAAGTGTTTTATCTTCTAAACGTATAGTTTCTAAATCAACTTCTTTTATTAACATTAATAATATATCTGAAACTACTTTTTCACAAAGTCTTTTTTCATCAGGATGACAACTTTGTTCATAACTATGACATAGTCGAACTACTGAATCTGTAGCAAACTCAACTACTGTTAAAAGTGTATCATCTCTTTGAAGATCAATTAAATTAGTATTAACAACTTCAACCTCTTCTTGTTCTTCAAGTTTGATTTCTTCCATACTAATTAATCTGTTAGTTACTACTTCTTTTTCTTTCTCTTGAAATCTATCATTCTCTCTATCTTCTTCTATCATACCTTCTTCCATTTTATTCGTAAAAGCAGTCCAAATTGAATAAAAATGTGACATCATTATTGGTGGCATATTATATCGATATGGAAAGTCTGGGACTGGACGTTCAATTATATTAATGAGAATTTCTGCTAATTGATCTCCACTTAAACGTTCAATTCCAGGATATCGATCAACAATCTTTTTTACTACTCGACAATTACTTGGTGGTGGTTCTGAATGAACATTAAAAAGTGATGTAACAGGATAAAGCATTGGTATGCTAGCTATTGCATTATGTTCAATAGCAATTTCAACAATTTTACTGACATGAAACTCTACTAATATTGATACATTTTCCAACTGAATTGGAGTAAACCTTCCAATGTATGGTTGAATACATAAATCCCTAAATGAACTATAGAATAAGTTAAACAATTGAGGATAGAATCGAATGAGTTTAGATATAAGCTGAAGTGAATGTGAAAAAAGAGAAATATTTAATGACAAAACAGAATAATGTGACATTGATTCAACACATGTTCTTATTAAAGCTGATATATTCGTTTTTGTATTCCTTTATCATTTAATAATAAACGAATTATTTTAAATATTAAAGAATATGTAATTATTACATACTGAGTTGATGGTATCTTCTCTCAATGACCTTTGTATC